GGTTGAAATATATAATGAGGTTTGATAATGGACTGCAGCTTCCATCTCTTGAAAGCTTCTTGCTGCTGTAACAATTCATTTTTTAAAAAAGAGACACAGTCTTTGAAATGCAAATGTTCCAAAATAACAGGCAAGGTGTGCTAACTTTCAAAACCTAGACATCTTATTCTGAGACAGTCCCTCAATGCATGAAAAACATATGTCATTTCTGTAGTCCTGTCAAAACTGCCTTATAGAATATAGAAGTGCCTGCCTTGTATTGTTGATGGTGTTCTGGCATAGCTGGGGTATTGTGGGCAAGTCTTGCTAAATGTATTGCTGGAGAAATAAACTATGGAGCTTCATATTTAACCACAAAGTTGATGTCTTTTATTTATGTGCTGTATTACTAGTCCACATTTCTTTCTCACCGAGGCTCAAAGCTATGGGACTCAAAGACACAGTGTAAAATGATAATTAAATTGATTTAAGTTGAATATAATGGAGATGTTTTAATATCATACCTAATGAGGAAGAGCAGTAGTTTTTGCTTAGTTTTTAAAATGTTTCTCCTCAAGAGATCAGGCACTAAAATGTAAAATGATAGGCAAGAAAATAATATCTTTGTTGTTCAGTCGCACAGTCGAGTCCGACTCTTCGCGACCCCATGGACCACATCACACCAGGCCCTCCTGTCTTCCGCCGTCCTCTGAAGTTTGCTCAATTTCATGTTCGTTGCATCTGTGACATTGTCTAACCATCTCATCCTTTGCCGTCCCCATCTTCTTTGACCTTCAATCTTTCCCAGCATCAGGGTCTTCTCCAGTGAGTGCTCCCTTCTCATTTGGTGTCCAAAGTATTTGAGCTTCAGTTTCATTATCTGGCCTTCTAGGGAACAATCAGGGTTGATTTCTTTTAGGATTGACTGATTTGATCTTCTTGCAGTCCAAGGGTCTCTCAAGAGTCTTCTCCAGCACCATAGTTCAAAAGAATCTATTCTTTGGCGCTCGGCCTTCCTTATAGTCCAACTCTCGCAGCCATACATGACTACTGGGAATACCATTGCTTTGACCATGCGGACTTTTGTTGGCAGGGTGATGTCTCTACTTTTTATCATGCTGTTTAGATCGCCATCGCTTTCCTCCCAAGGAGCAGGCATCTTTTAATTTCATGGCTGCTGTCACAGTCTGCGGTGATCTGGGATCCCAGGAACGTGAAGTCTGTCACTACTTCCACGACTTCTCCTTCTGTTTGCCAAGGAGTGCTGGGGACGGATGCCATAATCTTAGTTTTTTTGATGTTGAGCTTCTTTTGCACTCTCCTCTTTTACTCTGGGCAAGAGGCTCTTAAGGTCCTCTTCACTTTCTGCCATTAGAGTGGTATTGTCTGCATATCTAAGGTTGTTGATCTTTTCCCCAGCAATCTTAATTCCCGCTTGTGATTCATCCAGGCCAGCATTTCGCATGATGTACTCTGCATATATATTAAATAAGCAAGGTGACAATACAAATGAGTCATTATTATAATTTTCATAGCATATAGACTTCTGTTGGAGCAGTTGGTGGGAGAAAACTTCTGACCAATAAAAAATTAGTTTTGCGCTTCAGCTTATGTAGAGATGTCAAAATAACCTGGAATGGGATACCAGTTGTTGCATTACAGAATAACCAGTAGCTGGTATCAACAGTGTCATGGTCAGTGAGTTATTGTCTTCAAGTGGCATGTAACTAAGATATTCAGTAGTGTGGGTTTGAAACTGCAGATTATTCCTGTCCTGCAATGTGAGAAGAGAATTGGAGAAGCTACTGAATCAATTACTGTACACCCAGAAACTTTTTCAATGGCAAGTGAAGCAGAAATCAGTTTAACTTAAATCTTTTTATTTTAATGCTTGTGTAGAGCATTGTTGTCAACAAGGTTAAATCCAGTGGTATTTGTACTGAGCAGGAAACAAGATAAAGTCGCAGTAAATATTTAAAAGTTTTTATTGGGCCTGTAGTGTATAATGAGGATGGTGGTCAGTTTTCCTGTTTTTGTAAGCCTGGATGACGAAAATGCTCTGGGAGGGATAAAGGTTTGTAGGGGTGAGGCACATAGCTTGCCTAAAGAAGATTTTAGGTGTAGCCCTGGCAACTTCAGTTAAAAGACCATTCGTAGCAGTGCTAGGAAAAATCAACCTGTACCTGGAACTTTGGAGAGCGACTGCCTGGCAGTATATTTAACTTGAAAACGGTCTACTCTAAGGCAGGGTCATATATGCATAATTTGCATCACTGTACATTATGAATCACAAAGACCAGCACGTTATTTGTAAAGCTTATGATTTTATCCAGATACATATTTTAAAATTTAGATTTTATAACAAGCAAATAAGAAATACTTGCGATTTAAAGTCTTAATGAGTTGAGAGTTCCTTTTCTTTAAAGGCATTTATTTCTGTGCAATGTTTTGTTCTGCTTTTTAGCAACTATTTATTTAAAACATTTTTATGCTGCTTTTCCACCCAATCAGGGTCCACAAGGCTGTGAACATAAGAAACATTAAATAATTTAAACAATTAAAATACAGTTACAATGATAAGATTCAATTAAAATACAAAATAATAATAAATACATAAATGAACAGCACTAAAAGGAGGGCCTATAACTGTTATTGGGGGTATGCCAGATGAAACAAAGAAGTCTCCACATGCTGGTGAAAGACACCGATAGAGGGAGATGGATGAATCTCCTTGGGAGGGAGTTCCAAAGTTCTGGTGCTGTAACAGAGAAGGCCCTTTCTTGGCTTGCAACCCATCTAGGTTCAGATGGTGGAGGCTACTGAAGCAGGGCCTCCAAGGATGACCAGAGTGAGGTAGTAGGTTCATACAGGAGTAGGTGGTCCTTAAGGTATGTTGGTCCCAGGCTGTACGGGGCTTTAAAAGTCAGTGCTAGCATTGTGAATTGAGCCTGGAATCAAATGGGAAGCCAATGTAGATGGGATTGGACTGAGATGGTCTCCAAGTCTACACTTGGCCACAGCATTTGGTATCAACTGTAGCTTCTGGACAGTGTTCAAGGGCAGGCTCATGTAGAGTGCCTTGCAGTAAACTAATCTAGCAATTACCAGGATATGCACCACAGTGGTAAGATTTTTTTTCCCAGGTAGTGCTACGGCTGAAAGGCACCCCTGGCCACCGCTGCCACCTGTTTATCCAACAGAAGGCCCTGGTCCAGGAGCCAGCCCAAGCTACAAATCTGTTCCGCGGGGGCGGGGTACAACTCCATCCAGAACAGGGGATAACCCATTTCCTGGTTCGGACCTTCCCTGTACAAGTAGAACCTCTGTCTGGCCAGGATTATATTTCAGCTTGTTAGCCCTCATCTGTTCCAAAACTAGGGATGGACACAAACCAGGAAAATCGAGGTTCGTTTTGATTCATGGTTCATGGGGCCACACAAACCACAAACCTTCCCGTTTACTGAACCAGGTTCATTTTGTGAGGTTCATGATGTGGTAGAATGGTCCCCCTACAGGCTATAGATGCCAAACACGAAGCGAGTCTCCAGTTGACTCTCCTCTACCTGCCGTCTAAGTTTGGTGAGGATTGGATTTAGAGGGGGCGAGTTACAGCCCCCCAAAGCAGGTGCCCACAGAAAACTGCTCTCTGGGGAAATTAGGTCCAGGAATGTGCTGTACTACCCCCTGCAAGCTAGAGGCATCAAACTCTAAGTGGACCTCCCCAGGATGCCCTTCTACCTGCCCTCCAAGTTTGGTGAGGATTGGCTGGGGGGGGTGGTGGAGCAGCAGCCCTCCCAGGTAGGTGCTCCCAAGAAAGTGATCTCTGGGGAAATCACAGCCACAGGTCCAGGAGTGTATAGAACAGAGCCCCTGCAAGCCAGAGGCATCCAACTTGCAGCAGACCTCCTGGGGATGCCCCTGTATGTGCCACCCCATAGAGCAGAATGGGAGCTCTTATTGGCAGCCAGTGCTACCTGTTTAGCTTTGGAGGGCCACTCTTGTCATTTCCAGGGTTGCAGAAGTCCATCCCCCCTGTTTCTTTGACATTCATAATTGATCTGTGCCGGTATGACTGCTATGGATGCTGCCAACATACACCATCACAAACTGCCTGAACCTCCAAAAACCACATGGAGGGTCGTGAGAGGTTTGTCTCATGAACCACAAACCAGGCAATTTTCATCATGAATTTAGGTTCATGAGATGATGTCAGATTCCACAGCCAACAACTGAGTACATGCTTATCAGAAAGGATCTTTGACATGGTCTCTGTGCTTCACACCTATGGGATCTAGTGTGCACGTGCTGGATCGATCGGTGCTGTAGCAAGCTCTTTTAATGGATTTTCGCACCCAGTCCCTCGGGCATGTGCAGGAACCCCACTGTGCATGCC